ATTTACATTCCTGCATTTGATATTACATTAACTAAAATATAACTAAATTAACTGATAACAATTTTGACATTCTATTAGACAATATTAAACTGTTTCAATGGCATTTAGTAATTGAACTAGAGTATACAGGTCACAATTCTATTGAATACAATTACTGCTTTTTACTGAGCGACGTTTCGACTAGGCTTCTCTAGTCATTATCAAGCTAGTACATTGAAGGATCACACATACTGTATACGATTTGAACATTATCCCGATTTAACCATCTCAAAATACCTAGATAAACTTAATTATCTCAAAAATCTTTCTTCAACTGAGATTCTAAGATTTCTAGATACTAAGTTCTGATTTAACATCTTCAAGTTTCAATAATACGTACCAAAGGATTTACATCAAACACAACAATAAACCAACAGAAAACTAGAAAATTATGAAGTCAAACACGTGTACCAGTACACGATTAGAGTAATGTCAAATGAAATGAATGAATCTGTAAGGATCTGGGAACTTTAAGATGATTATGTAGGGATCTCTCTATCCCATCTAAACACAAATGTGTGGCCCTTTTGCACTTCCACAATTACACGATGATATGTTTCCATAATGACTAGGCTCCTCATTTTTTAATAGCACCACAAATATCCCCTACAATGTTAAACTAAACGATGTAAAACATTAAATGATTGTGAACTGTCAATCTTGTAAGCTCAGAAATATCTCATGTTCTACATACTCATTAAACTTGCTACAGGTTTTTTATTGTATGAATGTACTAAACAATCTAATTGTAACTTTTACTCTGTACATATTGCACATTTGTACAAGTAACTTAATTTCTCCTAAGATCAATCATTATTGAACTTAAGTTTAATATTCATGTTGTAAAATTAATCTACAATAAACAATTTCCCTAATAATGTTACTCCAAATAGTAAATCTACAAGAAAAAAAATAATACTACAGCCTTATATCTTTCAATATTACATAAAAATTTAATATTTTGTTGCTAAACCAAAATATCACAGGAAAATATAGAGAACTGATAATTCAAATATAGGTAACAAAATACAAATGAGAATACATTTCATGTAATTAATGCTGAAAACCATTCAACAAGAACAACTAAATATTCATCGACTAAATTCTCCTATAATTTAGAGTGGGTGTCACTCATCCAATTTAATTTCAATCCATATTTCTTTGCTTAAATTGTTATTTTTGTTGACAGAACAAAATCCAACTTTAGCGTATACAAAATGTATATCAGGATCAATAACCAAGAATAAAAAATTTAAATTTCTGTTGTAGTTTGTGTGCAGCTATTTTGAACACCAATGATGTCACACATAATAAATTCAGTGACACACGGTCTAAGTACACCCCCAGATGTCCCAAATACATGGCTAAATAAATCTCTTATCATGTAGACTTCTATTAGATATAAATGCAGCCATAATCATGTTTTATTGCATACTAAAATATATAAATTGTTTTCCATTTTTAATCAAATTCAGACAGTGTACTATTTACAGTAAAAAGCCTGGAAATAAACTAGTTCCTTTAGGAATGGTCTCTGAATGATCAGACGCCTGTCCGCTGACCGTTCTTATCCATCCCAATCAATATGAACATACCCCTCTTCCCCACCTGTTTTAAGGCTATTTTGGAATCCTTATCGACTATTTTTCACCGTGGTTCTTCTTTTTTCACCAAAAGGAATCATTTATTGCCACATCTGACACAAATTTATAATAATTCAAAACTATTTTCAAGTAGTATTTTGCAATTAAAAAACATACACAAAATACGTTTGAACTGATCAGACATTACTAGACTCAAACATGCGAAGACTGCATGTTATTTTTTAATTGCAAAATTCTAATTGAAAATAGTGTCGAATTATTATAAATTTGTCTCAGATATGGCAAGAAATGATTTCTTTGGGCGAGAAATAAAGGATCACAGTGAAAAATAGAAGGTAAGAATTCCAAAAATAGCCTTAGAACAGAGGTGGGGAAGAGCGACATTTTCATATTGCAGGTATATAGGGACAAATAGGAACGGACAACGGACGTCGTCTGATTAGAGACTGTTCTAGAAGTAAACCATCTGTTACTGACAATTATACTGGTGCCTTATTTTTGTCAAGCAGAAATTTGCAACTAAAATTACTTCCAGGCATGGAAGGTAACCTGGCAATGTCAAGCTAACAAGGTAGTATGATGTGAAAGAAAATAAATTTAGAAACAAATGACCAGAACATCAAAATATAGGGGGATGCAGACTAAATTTTGGATATACAGCGTAATCAAATGTTGTTTAAATTTGAATCTAGTGTTGATTATTTTATCATAAACATATTCTGCATGTACTGGCAAGATATTTTGCTATCAGAAACATAACATAACACATCTACAAACATTTTCTATATAACCAGGAAATGTGTTTTTACTTATCTGTATCAAAACAACCTTCAATAAGTCCCTAATTCTTTAAAAGAATTTAAATAAGATAAATGACAAGTTATAGATTATATTTATATAGATTATATTTGTATAGATTATATTTATATGAGTAAGAAATAGTAGAAAAATAGCATCAGATATACAACATATAACAATATATAGATATATCACATGTCAATACGAGACATCTTTGACAACATACCACATCACATTATTTGAGTATGTGTGTACTGTAATGTACATATGGTTAAGGTATCCGTAAAAAGTCTTACTTAGAGAATATTTAAGCCATTTTTTAGATACACTCCTCCCTACAAAAGCAATGTGGTCTGTCGAAAAGCGTCTCTATTTGTTAGTCAGTAGCTGAAATGTAAGTAGTATATTGTCAAAACTTTGAATACCTTATCTGATGTAATAACTGCCCAGGCCATTAAATACATTTTATAAAAAAAGGAACACTTATTTCAACAAAATCAAACAAGAAATCTAAAAGTACTTTGCTTGTTTACATTTATGGCACACATTGGCCTAATTTATTTTTTAATCTTACAACAAATATTTATGGCGATATGAGACAGTGGGCAGATGGATGCTCACTACAATTCCATGTGTGCGCTTATCAGAGCCGGGCTGTTATTATATTGAATACAGTTTTATGTCTTTAACATCCCTCCCTTGTATGTGAGGAGATCTTAAATAATGTCAGTTACCTGAATGAATTAAATGTTTCGGTCAATTTTATATTTGTTATCAATAGATTATATTTGGATATAAATGACTATCTATATATCCATCTATATATTCTATGTTTTATATCACAATATAATCAACCATATATCTGGTAAATGCTTTTACATACAGTACGGTAATACAAGAGAAGGGAAGACTTCAAGAGACAGGTATAAACAGTTTGAAGCAATAAAATATTAACAATGATATAATTTTTAAGTAAAAACTTATTATCCATTTATATTCCACTTCTATAGTACAGCAGGACCTCACTATAAGGCAGTTCATTATAAGCCAGGTTTCAGGTGGAAACCACATTGGCTCCTAGCATTATATTGAAACCTTTCAGTCTAATATGTAAGTGACTTACAGGAGGGAGAATATGTCAATAGACCCGATAATAGAGTTACAGTGAAACCTTTAGTCTAATATATAAGGGACTTTACAGGAGTAGACCCCAATAACAGTATTAAAGTGAAACCTTCAGACTAATATATAAGGGACTTACAGGAGTGAGGTTATGTCAATATACCCTGATCACACTGTTACAGTGAAACCTTCAGTCTAATATATAAGGGACTTACCGGCATGAGGTTATGTCAATATACCCTGATCACACTGTTACAGTGAAACCTTCAGTCTAATATATAAGGGACTTACAGAAGTGAGGTTATGTCAATATACACTGATAACAGTGTTACAGTAAAACCTTCAGTCTAATATATAAAGGACTTACAGAAGTGAGGTTATGTCAATATACCCTGATAACAGTGTTACATTGAAACCTTCAGTCTAATCTAGAAGGGACTTACAGGTTATAACTATGAACCCCAATAACAGTATTTTAGTGTTATAGTGAAGCCCCAGTGTATTATATTTTATGTTCATGAACTGTACACATTGATAGAAGATAATAGGAGTTATGGTAGGCTATACGTAATTTATATCCAATCTCTATAAATCTAATTTACAAATATCACTATTACAGTATAACTAAATATCTTAATTCTATGTTAACAATCTATAATATATATTAATCTAATTCTGTTTGAAAGACAATAACAATTAAGAGAAAGGGGTAATAATTTAAATAATTTATTTACTAATAATAGAAAATATTGTCTTGTGTTAGCAATCTATGTCTATAAACTATGATTGTGCTAATGCACAAAAAGATATGTTTAAGAAATATCAACTTCCATTTTAAGTTTTATGCTGTTATCTCTTTCAAATCTGAACACAAGTAACTCTTCCAAAGCTGTGCTTAAGTGAACTCATCCATCTAGAATTTTTCATTAACAATTAACAACTTCAGTGGCCTTATTCATAAAAACTTAATATTTTAAAGATGTGAAGGCTTCATTCTTGAAATATTTGCGTTCAAGTTTTCATGAATAAGGCCCCAGGTAATAATACTACTCATGGTATCCACTGTACAGTAAACTCATAGTCTTAGAAGTTCAAGAATAGTTGTCATTATTTTATTTCTGGGCATTCAGAGACTTTCTACTGTACATATGGTACATGTACATTTCATTCAACATTAGTTTAACAACACACCAATAACAATTGTCATATCTTACAAACTAACAAATATAAATATAGAGATTTTAAATACAGTACATATATATGTGTTCATTAAATTCACAATGGGCGAATTAAGAGAAAAAAAACAACAACACAACCATATCAGTCACAAAGAAAGTAGAATCTGGGTGAATAATAAATTGAATAATAAATTAAATTATGTATGAATGGTGATTAAAACAAATGTCTTTTCTTATCTAGCCAATAATTCTGGACCACAGATATCAATAATCTTTGTCTTCTTCAATGTCATTTCCACTCTCTTTACAGCAGGAAGAATCAGCATCTGTTAGAGGGCTGCCATCTCGAGACGGGGGGTTCGAGTCCGGAGGTGGGGAGCTGCAATTATAAAATATTCAAAATATAATTAAACCGATTAATTACTTCCAATCTTTTTATTTACCTAATCACAAAATATGTAATCACTGAATGCTATATTTTAAAAATATTCTACCTACATCCCATGTTGTTCGTTATTACACAAAATGTTGATTTGACGGATGATTACCAGTAAATATAGAAAATCTATTTTGGATAAAATTAATAATAGATTTTGTTTCCTTCATCATATTAGATTTCTAAAATTAGTCTTTTACACTAAATCTAAAAAACTGATACTATCAGTATCTATCATAACAACAGGTCAAAGGACTTTCATTGTCCATTGGGTAAGAGTAAGATTTTGCTTAATGAGAATATAAATGCCTATAAAATAAGAGCTATTTATCATTGTGATTTCCTTGATTAAATAAAAGGGATAATTAAGTATTTTCAAAAACCCCATTAAAAAACATTATGACAATTAAAGTTACAAGCCCAAAAAAAGTTAAATATGCCCCCTCAAAATACATAAATTTGGCCAATCGATGGACTACTACAAAACCATGATAGTATATTATTGATAGTCAAGGACGTGTTTTATTACACAGATTTCTATCAGTTCAGTTGTCTTGTCTCCTTTAAAACATTTTGTAATGTATACAATGAAAAATTCAACATTTTTAAAGTAATAAAATGATAATCTGAAACTATGAAAATAACATTTGTAAAATGAACTTTTCAAATATTTAAGAAAAAAGCCTCAAAATAACATGATTCGCTCTTAGGTGGATACTACTAGTACAATTTGGATGCCATCCAGTTCCCAACAGTTTAATAATGAAGCCTTTGTGTATAATATATACAGGTCTTGCCATAAACACAGGCTGTGCTAACATAAGTTTTATAAATCATACTCCTACAGTACAAGTGACTATTTTAGTGTTAAAGCTTCGAAGAGTACTAATATATATATATCAAACACAAATTCTAGAGTTTTTAAATATACATTATGGGAGATTAGATAGAGAGCTGGCAGTTCCCACTATAATAGTTAAAAACTAGATAATGTAAAGGGAATTTGCTGAAAATTTCAGTCAAATTGATTCACTCTGAACCGAGAATTTAGCGATCAAATTTTGGGCCTAGCTCCGATCATTATTACTAAAGTCGGTACAATAAAAAAAACATACTCTTAATTATCCATTTTTGATTTAATCATGAATGAGCGTTGAGTAGCAGATTGGATCCTAATCAAGTAAATATCGCAGGCTATCAATGACATCAAGTTTATGGTTTGGATAAGTTAATTAATGTCTAATTAATAGTTTATATAACGTTTCAGGCCTAAAGAAAGACCTGCAATAGGCAGATTTAGCTCTTACATAATGTATGTTTAATAAACCCACAAAGTAAAGAATATAGTCTATATAGTATGAGCTTATATAACTCTTACATAACATTGTACTTTAGTCATTATCAATACGTTATAATTTTGATTTCTAACTTCCATCACCATTATGGGTAAGCAGTCTAGTGTAGCCTCTCTAGAAGTTTTACCACCCCTTCTTATAATTAAATTTGACAAGATCAATTTTTCGACAAATATATGGTGGTGTATTATTTGATTTCAATAATTCGCTTTAGCTGTAATAGCGAAGAATACCCACAAATCACGCAATCACTAAACATGTAAAGAAAGTTGGAAATAAAATAATTAATTTTCATGTGGATAAACCAAATATTTTGAGTTCTTAAGAGACTAAACAATAAGTTACAAACTGATAATTTAGATCACTATCAGAAATATAAAATCCAGAAGTATCTGATGTATTCATTGTCAAAAATCAGGTGTTTGCTTTCATGCATGTACGTTTCTTTTATGGGAGGATTTATGCAAATGAAAAAAATCATGAAATTTGGAAGACAATAGACACTAAGGAATACTAATGACATTCTGTAATAATGGTATATAAATTTAATGCTATAAAAGATATAATCAGAACAAAATTAGTAAATAAAAGCTGTAGTATAAATAAAATAAATGTATGAATATACTTCTAACAATATTCATACCTTTATAGAAAAAACATCAACCGACTTCATATAGCTCCCTGTAAAGTAAACATGCAACATGCAAGAGTCAACAATACAGTACTAGAAAAAATGACCATTCTTTTCTCAAATTACTTGTCATTTCATATTCAAATAACATTTACACACACACACATACACAAATAGCAGCTGGCATCAAAACATTCAATGTAGAAATTTAAAACCTTCATTTCAAAATAAGTCTATCTCTATACCCATCTAGCCTATTGGTTCATTGGATTGAATTTCCATCAAAATGAATGTAATCTCAACACAAAATTTCCCTTAAAGTCACTGAATGTCACTTGCAAACTGCACTATTGTGCAACTTGAATCTCTAAAAAGAATCTCAGTCCCAAAATGATTTAATTCTGTTTAGTATTTACAAAGATATGATTAACTGAATATTTTATGGACCATAGATTTTTAAGAACAATTTAACATAGATTTAATCAGTGACCAGCGGCTGCCAGGCAGGATACGCCCACATTTTCGAGAAATGGATAGAAAACAAGCTAAAACGAAAGTGATTTTTCCTACAATCAAGGGCCATAATTCAGGAAATTACAATTCGATATGCGCAAATATCGAAAGGAACCAAGATATTTGAGTTATAAACTTACATTTCAAGTTTCAACGAAATCGGATAAAAATTGTGACCTCTATAGGGTCCACAGCCTTGATATACCATATTTTTACGCAATTTGAGAACGAGGGGCGGCCATTTTGTCTGTCAGTTTAGGGCCGATTTTCACTAAATTTGAACTCAGTCGTCCTTAGGGTTTAACGGTGATATAATAATACGTTTTTTTAAATCGGATAAAAATTATGACCTCTATAGGGTCCACAAGCCAAAAAACGCGTTTTTACGTACAATCAGGAGCCATAATTCAGGAAGTTACGGTCTGATATGCGCGAATATCGAAAGGAACCGAGATCTTAGGGTGATTAACCTATATCTCAAGTTTCATTGAAATCGGATAAAAATTGTGACCTGTAGACTGTTCACAAACAATTGTGGATGGACGGACGGACGGACAGGGGCGACGACAATATACGTCCGTATGAAAATGTGGGCGTATAAAAAATTAGATATAGTCCAAAAAAGTGCACATGACAATCAACAGCTTTAAAGGGTATATGACTCTATTTTTGTGAACCTTGAAATAGACAAAAATGGTTCTAAAAGCACATATCAATGTAATATGAATGCATGTAAAGTGATTTGTATTCAATTTTTGAAAAAAATATTTTGATTTCTAATCAATTATGTTCGGTGAAATATGTGAACAGTTCAAATTGAACACCAGTCATTTACGCCTACAATGCGTTCTACACGTTTTTTAAATTATTATTTTGTCGTTTGTGAATCAGCCATTACTAATTACTTCCACATTGTGTTGTAGGATACGTTTTTATTTATTGTTCATTACAAAATGGTACAATAACCATAGCGTACACGACTCATGTACTAATTGTGAAATGTTAATTGTGTCTTAAATATTGGATATCAGGATCCTATAGTTTGACGGCAAGATAACAACATCAATATTGATTGAAATTGATCAATATTGATATCTAATTTGTGTTTTTAATTTCGAATATTATGGAAAATATTGAGTTATAGACTTAATAATAATAATAATAAGGAGTCTTGTATTGCACTAAAACCCACACCACAAAGGGGTATGCTCAAAGCGGCGACCACACAACGAACACACACTATCACTCAACAACACAATTTCACTAATTATAACGTTTGAAGAGATAGGTCTTGAGGTTTGATTTAAACAAACTTAATGTTTTAGCACTCCTGAGTTTTAATGGCAAATTATTCCAAAGTGTTGCAGAGGCATAGGAAAATGACCGAGCACCAAATGTCTTTAAATTGTAACATGGAGTCTTAAGTAGAAATTGATCAGAAGAGCGCAAACATCGTGAAGGAACATATGGGTGTACAAGTTCTTGTAGATAAGTTGGAGCCATTTTGGACACTGATTGGTAGGTTAGGCACAAGATTTTGAAATCGATTCTTTCTGAAATCCTAATATAGAACCTTTAATATACAAACAATTATATCCATATAATATATTAACTGTATATTATATTTATGGATTTAGACAAGCAAAATAAAGTTTTACTGCACAAGTTTGCATAGATTATATCTACCTATAATATACATGTCCTATAAATACTCCACAGGTTTGATTGCATTATATCTATCTGTAATATGTCTATAAATATTCCACAAAATGATTGGATTATATCTATCTATAACATACATGTCCTATTTGGTCCTTTTGAGCCGAACAAGGTAATCTTTATAATGAAAATGGAATATTGAAAACACTATCTCCTAAAGGCTACGAAGATGAACAAAAGAAATAACTTTCCTAGGCTAGTATTTTGTACAGTGTACATTATGTTAAGCTCTGTTAAGAGATCAACTTTTCACAATAAAGGCAATTAACCGAACTCAACACAGCCAATTACAGAGAAATAGAACTGAAATCATGATACCACCACCGCACATATCCATAAAATATCTTATTCTACACTGTTTAAAAAAGCCTTAATCAAAACATCTCTAATAGCCTTATATAGCTTATAGAAAAACTTCAATCACATTAATATGTAACTTTAATTTCTATACTAATATAGGTCTGATCCCATTTATTGGTAACTTTATTACAATGTATTACAATCCAATCATAAACTTTATAGACCTTATAATATTAGGTCAACAAACAACAAATGTGTAACTGCCTAGTAAAATAACAAGAAATCACTGAGTAAATTAATAAGATTGAATCACTAAACGTATAGATAAATGGAAAATCAGAATTTTGACACAGCACTGCTTTTAAAATAATGAAATAGGAAATGATCCAGAAATGAAATTTGATTGGTTCAGTCACCAGTACCTATATTCAAAAATATCTACCATTTAGATACAAATAAATAGTACCAGAGACATCTTTGACCAGATCTTGGTGGATGTTATTTATCCTTATCATACACCCACAGCAGATGTCCAAGCAGTCCATAATCGTCACATGGTGAATTATTAGGTTAAAAAATGTCTAAACCTGTGTTTTGTGAAATATCAAGATTCTATGTACATAATCAAGAACAATTACTCTAGCAGTAATTATCAGAAACTGTTGTAATTGTTATTTATCAAATCAAAGACTATAAATTTAAAGTAGATTATACAATGACTTTTGCTGTTCCAGCATTCCCAAGATTCTACCAAGTGAGCTACAGCCATTACTCAAGAAGTAATTAAATGAAATTGTTGAAATTTTAACTCTGCACTGTTTCAATAAATCAGAACAATGTATAACTTCTGTTCCCAGAGCATTCACAAGATTCTACAGTAACTCTAGAAGTGATTAATTAATTGAAATTGTTGAAATTCCATACTTGAAATTTCAAACTAAAATTTAATAGGATTCCTGTCTCACTGTCTATGTAAGCAACATAATATCAATTTTAAGCATATTGGATGATTTATGTATTATGTTGAAGTGTATTATCAACATAAATAGTGAACTATTAGACAGATCAACTACATACATGGTGATGGTAATATTCAACCACATGCAGTGGCATTAAATTTAAGTGCAACATTAGCAAAAAAAATTTGACTGTGCAACAACAAAGAAAGAATGACATGACCAGAAAATTTATTTACTACATGAACATTCACAGGTACATATATGTACATACCCTTACTGCATGCATTATATTCCACACTTCCCTGGTTAGCACAGTAAAGTAAAGCCCAGCCAATATTATACATAAATTCAATAGATTTCATACCATTAATTATTATACAGTTAGTAAGATATATATCACACCCCATTCACTACTTGTTAGTGGTTATTTATTATGAAAGACACAACATTAAAATTAGTAATTAGGGTACTACAACTACCAGTGATCCTTTTGTCTAAATCTGCAAATTGATATGTTTAAAATAGTGTTTTGTCCAGTTTTAAGAAATCATAATGTTCATGTTTTTTATCCAACATAAACACATCATGATAATATAAAAACATTGAATAAAGACCATATTCCACTACAATATCATATCTTTATTTTCTACACTATATATTAATATGGAACATATTCAGAAAGCTGATGGCAGCTGTGTCATGTATAAGACTTTGGTCTTGATGTGATTGTAACAGAGAAGCTGTGTTTTCATTGGCTGTTTAAAGTACACTACTAAAAACCAAACACATTGATAAAACTCATCAACTGATAAGTCAAATTGGGTCCTTTAAAACACAAAATACAGAATATGAAACGAAAGGAAGTAAAAAGATGATTTTAATCTGTTTGGCGGTATAATAAATGTAATGTGTATCATTCAATCAACATTCAACCTCAAAAAATACTGTCAGAATCACATAACATACATAGTCAATTAAATAATAAGACACCTTTTTTTTTTATCAAGAAATTATATTTTGTATGTAACTTTGGGCAATGAAGAACTTCATACAATTTCAGTCAGTCATAATGTGATCTGGAATGATCAAATTTAAATTTGGAATTAACAAATTTTTAATATTAAAAAAAGATGAATGAATAGAATAATACAATAAATTTATTCTATACATTAAATGTCTGAGTTATTTTGAAAGACTAGCGTGTGTGTCTATATACTTTTACCTGAGAGTAGAATCTTTTTATATATATCAGTAAAATTGAAGTATTTGAGAAAAAAAAACATTTAAAATTCAATTTCTGGCTAGTACTTTCATGTTTAATTGTTATTTCGTTTTAGTTTTTATATTTAAATTTGTCATTTTCCTCTGTTATGACGTAACGCTATTGTGATAGCATAGTAACACAATAAAATGGCCAGACGATTCATTTTAACACGATGAAACTACTAGCTAGAAATGGAATTTTAAATGTTTTCTTTCTCAAATACTTCAATTTTACTTATATTTTTAACTGAGAGTTAGATCATTGGATAATATTTACTAGTTGAATAATAAAGATTTATAGTAATTACCTTTCAGCTGCTTCTTGTGATTGTTGTCCACTACTACTTCCTTCTTTACCATCTAATGACTTTCTCTGATAATGGCTCCTTAAACATTCAAATTCAAATTATATCAACCATTTCTATGAAACTGGAGATAACAGTTAATTTTCACCATGTTTTTTTTTTTTTAAGGGGATTTCAGAAGATTCTCAATTCTATACAAATATGATTCTAAATAAACTTCTATCTGTGAGCAAAATACTGGTGAGGCTTTAAAGATAAGCATGATGGACAGATTTTGTAAAGCAATAAAGACCATTACTAAAATGAATAACTAAGAAAAGTTTCAAGAAAGTATACTGTATATGAATTATTAAGTGAAAAATGGTGTGCACAAGAAGTTGGCTCATCTTATATATTTTGATATTAAATACTTAAGAACTTTTTTCCTGAATAACTGAAGAGAATGTGGGGAGTTTCAATAACTGACGTTTAATATTCCTTTCCAACAAGGGTGATATCGAAGATAAAAAAAAGGCAGGTTCTTTTTTTTAATAACAACTTCAATTATATAGATAAGGTTAAAGAAATTCCACTAACCTGTATCTTTGTTGTATTATAACTGACTGATTACGACCTTTTTTAACTCTATCTTTAGAGTATGCTAAATATTGACCCTGGCCACCTGCAGCAATCTTCTTCCGTTTTTGGGCATAATAACTACGAAACTGATTTTGAATGAGAACAGCAGCATGAGACATTTTTTTAAAATAGGCATACTGAAATAAAACAATGATATAAGTTTTACAAATATATATCAATGTCTCTAAAACAGTATAGAGTATGGATTTAATGTGAACACATTAGATTCCCAGATAATAGAATTAATTACACTCTAGTATAGAAGCAACTTTTGCACTCATACCATGCATGCTACTTTTTTAAGAAAATATTTAAGAATTGAATAGAATAGGTATAGAATTTAATAATTTTCAGATTAATATACTCTCGTTTTGATCTCTGTACTTAAATAGTTTTACAGTTCTCCTTTACATCAGTCTATCAAGTTTTGGTGAAAAGAAAACAAAAAGTCTGGAAAATAGCAGAAGTCAAATGTTTGAAATGTGTATAAAGTTTCATGGAATTATCTCCAACTGTGACCAACATACTCCAAAGAAACAAATTTTTCAAACAGATCGCTATATGGCCCATGACCATTGTGTATAATAATAATGATATTAATAAAGTGAGTAAAGAATTACATTATCCTTGACATGTGCCCGCCTTGAAATTATTAACAGTAAAAACTTTTATACAAAGTTTCAGTGAAAGTTTACCCTAAACATGGCAGTTATCAAATAGACAAACAAACATACATTGCCAAAGAATTTGTCTCATGTTGACAAAATATAAAAAGATCCAGTCATGACTGTGGTCTTTAAGTGTAATAATAAGGACTTACAGATGGACAGATTTATACATTATTTAAATAGATATATATGTACTTGTTTATATCTTCTGTAGTAACTTTGTATCAAGATGGCTGCTTCTATTTCTTTTCTCTGCTGTATCTGATGTTGTTTATCCCGATAAACTCTGTAAGCATTCTGTATAACTTTTGCAGCCACATACAATTTACGTTGTTCTTGGTCTAAAAATACAACTGTTCTAATTGAAGAGGGAAAGATTTACTCAATAGAACTGATCATTTTGGGACTCAAGGTAAGTTTGCCCTTAGAGAGATGTCAGATCCTACTCTTATTTTCAAAATGTCATGGAAAACATACTCTGGAATAAAATCTGGGACCTCAGGCTAGTGAGCCACTTTATTCAGAATTATTTAGGAATGTTGTCTGTCACGACAAGCAAGTGTAAATGAGATTATTGGTCACATAAAGGTCAGTATCAAAGACTGTGGTTTCTGACCTATTGGAACTGCAGCATGAATATCTTAACTTGTGAGATAGCCTCCACGGGTGTGTAACAGAGTAGACTAGATATCAAAATATACAAAATTATTAAGCTGTTCAAAATAACATTAAACAGATTTCAGAACATTGTTTTATATTAATAGTTCTATTATAAATTCTTCTTTTATACCAAATACTACATACCAGTTAATGTGAGCTTAGAGAAATCTTTTTCCATGTATGTTGATGGTGCATTAAAATATTCTAAAAAGTCAGCAGTAGTAGGTGGTGGTGAGTCTAGTGTAAAGCTATAAGGACTGTAAGGACTTTGTAAACATGTCGAATCGGGACTTAATGATGATTGAGGTGTACCTAGATCAGTATATCTACAAAATATACATAATATTATCAAATACAGCATTATACTTCCTTCTATTTCAGGGTGCCAACTGGCAATAATAAAAATAGGTACATTGCGTTGGGTGTGCATTTTCTTTATGATAGGGCAATAGAAGGGCTATCCACTGGTAAGACAGGGATAAAGTAGGGAATTACTTACACCTACACTGTTTAACTACATGTAGCTTCATATGGAGCACACAAATCCACTGGAATGACAATGGAACATCGAAGATAACAATACTATCATTAATTCTCCAAGAAATGCAGCTCAGAATGAGACATGTTGACACTCAATTGGATTGAAATGTTTTTTCTATCATACACGTGAGTTTCTTGGCACATAAACTAGGTCATATTGGTAATAACAAACTTTTAATAAAAAAGTAGATGTAGAAAAGGATACTTGATTTGTCAGGGAAAGACACTGTCATTTAAAATCTTGTTATTTGTAAATATAAAGTTATCATTAACTATATAAACTTGTTCAAATCAAAGTTTTCTGCTAAGAGCCAATGAGAAGAACCTTTATAAGTGTGTTAATAAATCGAACACAGCTCATTCTTGAAACTTCATACATAAATGTGAATATTTGATACTTAATATCATACCTATATTCATCAAAAGCTAAACTATCTGTCATAGGAGTAGCTATTCCTGAATCATCACCAAATGATGAAGCATGGGATGATTCTTGTGATGGTAGTGAACTATAAGATTCACTTCTAGCTCGACTTGTTGTTGATTCACATTCTTCATCTTTAGATGGTGATAATTTAATTCGTTCTGGTATAGCAGCTATAATCTGATTAGCTAATGTTACCATCTGATGTTTCGATTCTATACCACTACCTGTAGATATAAATAATACATCAAACAATAATTATATATCATAAGATATATTACACAATCATGTTATAAAACAATCTTAAAGTAGACATCCACAGCCTTCAACATTGAAAATATGACTTATTGGTCAAATTAAATCCACATTGATGTTGTTATCTTACTGTGAAAAGATGGGCTTCTGATATCCAATATTTAAGACACAGTGAACATTTTAAAATTGGCACACAGATCATGTGCCAGAATGCTTTTGAGTGCCATTTGTAATGCATGACTCGATGAACGAGGCTAACCATCTCTCAGGGGAGAATATTAACGATGTACACTGGTTATAGAATGCTACTCAATTGGGACTCTTTGCACATTTTGCTGAACATAATTGATTAGAAATTACAGTAAAATAGAAAAGATTGAATGTAAATCAGTTTATATACATTCATATTACATAATTATATGTGTTGTGACCCATTTGTATCAATTCCTTGGTGCCAAAGATTAAAGAATTAGCTCCTTTAACATGCATTCAACAAATTTTTCACAGGATCAATAATTTACAAGGTAAGAGAATACAAAGCTATGGGTACACAGCCCTAATAGTACTATAGCTTTTTTTTGCTTTTTTTTGTAAGGTACTGCACTAATACAAGGACAGCGTACATATTTACCACGAGTTGCCATACAAGATGGCGACAGCACAAAGAATTATGGGTAATTCCTGTCCACACAGAATCATCTATTGAATACTTAAAGGCTAATTCTATCTGTGTAGGTCGTAGAACTTTCTCGAAATCTGCTAGAATTTGCTGCTTGACATCCAATTTCCAATCCGTACAGGCACTCTTTGCCAGACGATCACACATTATGAACACAATATTATAATGATAGTGATTCTCCATCTCGGCAATTTATATATATATACATGTAATGTCACTGTATTTGAAGTGAGAAACTCAAAATGAATTGAAATACCAAGCGCTCTCACAGGCACTACTTAACTAATAAACCAAATAAAAGATAAGAAAACAGAGAATTTATCCATGAGCCAAATTAAACAAAACATTTTTTGGGATAACTGATGAACAGCATGAACAAATGCTATGTTAAAACTACCAGCTATGGTTTTAAATGGAAGTTTTATATTTAGGGAGCTATAATAACCGTACCTTGTTGATCATCTTGAACTGTAGTTTCATCATCTGATACAGCTTTCTCTACATCAACATAAGGACTATCACTTCTCATAGATATATCTACAAATAATATACAGTTTATTATCACCATTTATTAATACTACCTCATAGATAGGGTTGGTAGAAAATATCTATAGTGCTGATAATCATCTGTAAAGCATTTTGAAGATTGATAATCAATACAGATTTAAAATATCGATAATCGCGTAATTATAGGTAGTCACTTGAGAGAATCCATCTATTATACTAATATTTGTGACTGTCATTTGTCTGTCTGTCTGTCTGTTCCGGGTTGGCGGCTACACTAAATCTGCCCCGAGTCTGAAATTTGGGGTATAGGGGTAGCTCGGACCGGGGAATAACATAGGCCAGGTGGCGTTAGTCTACCACTTCCGGTTTCGGGGTTATGACCCCCGAGCGAAGCCGGGCATTCTTCTAGTAAAACATAAACTTATCACAGTATTCTTTTTAATGCGTGCACGAGTCTACATGTAGCTCAGTAACTGTAATCAAACAGAAAAATCATTCAAGACACACGTTTTGTTTTTCACATGACAAGCCAGCACCACAGAGAAAAAATGCCAGCACTAAGAAATGTTGGTCGCTTATAATGAAAGCAAATAGTTTCTCATGTTTTAAAATATTGTGGAATATTGAAATTATATAGATCTCATAGTGACCAAGAGTCAAAGGCATGAATTAAGGCACTATACAAGGTGTTCTGTGCACATGAGAAATCACTACGAGAAATAAACTCATACTGTTAACTGTAAGTGGAATCCATTTCAAAGGGAAATAACTACATTTTACTCATTATTATGGTTATGGTCATGAGCGGCAAAGATTGAGCTTTAGGCCGCATCGAGAAGACTGATATTTGACTTTCTTGGCCCCTGGCCCAGGGGTGCGTGAAGGGAGGCAAGAGCTGAGTGACTCACATTGCTGACTTTGCTTTGATCTAGAAAGTATCTGAGACATCTATAGACGCTGTCATACTAACCCTATGGTTTTACAATAACCCAGCTGTTATTACAGTAGAATCTGTATGAGCAGCCACTCCTATTCAGCGACATCTCCTTGTAAGCGGTCACGATAAATTCCCCCCGTAAAAATTCTGTTGTTTCATCTCTTTATTCAACGGTCACTCCTCTAACGCGGCCAGCGGTCACTATTTTACTAATAAATTCAACCAAACATCGCCCATTCAGCGGCCATTGTTGAATGATACCATCTTGTCGTTTTTTGTTACACCCCCGCTAATCCCGTGAGTAGTAGTTAATTAACTGGACCCCCACTGATCAGGTAAAAAGAAATGTAAAAATAACAATCAACCCTGGATAATCTATTAAAATCTTTTGTTTTATTAAACAACTAACCTGATCCTTGTTTTCACGCGTAACGACACATTATTTGATATTGATTGAATAAAATAAAAGTACAGAGTTTTGTCACGATCATCTAGTATCTCTTTTCCATTTCCCTTTATTGTTAAACGTTTTAGCGCCTCCTATAATATTACATACAGAGTTACACCCCCTGTAAATAGGAGATAAAATTAGCGATGTTTTTTTGTTCATGTGCTTTTTTGGTCAATTAAAATTAATTCATCGATTTTCTTCACAAAAATGGATAAATATTATCGAATGCATCACAATGGTATACAGTAGTATCGAAGGTTGGTACAAAATGACAAGTTTACAGAAGTTATGTCCGAGATTTGAGTAAAGAATTTTCGTTCGGCGCAAGATTCAGCGACGGTCAAATTTACCACTTCCAATGCATTCAAGCGTAATATTTAATTTATGTCAGCACAAAAAGCACCAAGATTTTATTAAGAGTCCACTCCCGTTAAGTTATGTCCGAGATTTGAGTAAAGAATTTTCGTTCGGCGCAAGATTCAGTGACGGTCAAATTTACCTCTTCCAATGCATCCAAGCGTAATATCTAATTTATGTCAGCACAAAAAGCACCGAGATTTTATTAAGAGGCCACTCCCGTTAAGCAGTCAGTTGTGAAAATTCCCTTGGGTGGGTGCTTAATGCAGATTCTACTGTATATCAATATATTAATAAGTTTACCTGTATCTAAGTGAACAAGTAAACCTTGTTTAACTGGGTTACTGGTAGATTGGTAACTGCCTATCTTCTCATTATCTACTGGCATTAATACATCAGATGATGTCATATCTCTCGTATTCACAGACAGTAATAAATTCTCATTTGATGAACGAGTGTCTATAATCAAGGGTAGATGAGGTTCAGAATTTGATCCACGAACAGGTTTTGGTACTTGGCAAGATGTGGATGTTTGTTCTACAACCGTATCATTTGATATCACATCTACAGAATATCTTTTAGATAATTTTCTTTGAGCTTTGTTGATCGCTTGTTCACTTAATCGTCTTACAAGTTTACTCTCCCCCTGGTATGGAAGAGGTGGGGGGATGTCAACATGTAGACTCTGTATTTTGTTTTTTGTGTTATTTTTTTCTTCTTGGCTTGTGAAGAAATTGGTTGATTCAATCTCTGGATGAGAAATATGTAACGTCTCCGGTGATGTGAATGTTGCCGATGGAAAAGAAGAGCTTTTTGATCTGTTGGTTTCCAAATTCTTAATTTGATCGGCAAGGTTGTGATGTCCCTTTAATTGTGCGATAGTTAATGGCAGCTGTCCATCCTTGTTACATATCTTTAGCGGTCCAGAATTCCAGTGATATAAAGTTAAAGATGCATCTGTGTTACCTTTAGCACATGCCCACATCTGAAAAAAATCATTAAATCATGTTTCCTTCAATTCATTAAACGTTAATCCATACAATCAACTAGAATAGTATTAAGCATTACTTTTCTATAGTACCTCGGTCAGTAAGGGGCTTAATCCTTTATAACTGGGAATAATACTGAAAATATCCTGATCCAGGTACATTTAATTTCTAACAAGCAAAGATTGTAAATGAACAAACTAGAATTAAATTCCTTTAAAATTTTATATGAAAGAAAGTAATTTACCAATGGTGTACAAGCATGATTATCCACACTGTGAGCATCTACTTCATATTCAAATACTAGACTTGGATTATCAGATCTGTAACATCAAATACAATATTACACTCGATCTCGTAGATAATGATCACATTTATTAACTTTGAATAAGAAAATAAAAGTAATTAATCTTATCTGATATATGCATATTCAAATTAACACCTATTCAACCTAATTATCAATGTAATAACACATTGTTTGAGAAATACTCCTATGCACGGATTGTCTTCCTTGTGTGAGTTTGTTTTCATTTTGAGTGAAGCCGGTATAACTGCACACCGGGACAGTACAGGGCTGTGTACACTAGCAGACAACCCACAACTTCATCATAGTAATTTAATAGTACTTTTATTGTTTATTCCTTGCAATATTTATGTGTCTTGTCCGCTGGTTTGTCCTCCGGATTTCTGCTTGTTTATGTGCCATGCGGATCTCCTTGACTAAACATTTGGCTCAGGTCTCTGTTGAACTTCACAATGTGTACAAAGATAAATTTTCATACATTTGAATCTATGGAAATAAGATATAAATCCTACCTCCATCTTATAAATGTAGTGATTAATTTAGCATAACCTAAAGCTGCTGCTAGATGTAATAAGGTCATACCACCACGACCTGCTTTAGGATAGGCTTCTACATTTAACCACGGTAACTTGGCTAACTCTTCACAATAACAAACAAAAGCTTTCTCATCATCACCATGGCATGATCGATTCTAAAAACAAAAATAAAACGTATCAACATATAATAAAATATAGGTTGCCAGGCTACACAAAATATATACCCACCAGTAACCATACTTTTTATAATAGGCAATATGTTTGTAAACAAACAGCTATACATGAATAGATTGCATTTAACACTTTATCAACGGACACATTATTATTATTTCCCAGATAAAATGATGTTGAAAGATAGTTGATGATAATATTACCTGTTTAGGTATACATGGCATTGTTTTATCACCTGGTGAAATTCTCTTCTCTAACTCTTCTAATCTCTCTATTAACAACTGTTTTAACAGATCATCTACAAATATATACAGTACAATCATTACATAATCTTCAAGTCTGATCATCAGGCATATTATTACATATTGGTCATTGTATTGTAATATATAGTTTGTCTTTGAAAAATATATATATTTTTCAAAGACAAACTATATGAAATATACAACATCTGAAATCAAGCAAGGTCCCAGAAAACATTGAAAAATATGTTTACTTTTTGATTGCATATTGTTTTCTAATAAAATTAAGAAATATATGATAGCACTTACTACTCATTGAGAACCATTCTGGATGAAGATCTACTTTATAACTTTTATCTTGTTCTTTGAGCACATCCTCATCTGGTTTAAACTCTACTTTAAACTCAAATACTTCACAATGTGATATAACAAAACCATCTTTAGCTACTTGTAACATAACTTGACCAGCATGATGTGCTATAAAACATAAATACAATATAACTCAGACACAAGAATTAGAGTCAAAGCAAATTCTGGCAATATGTTCTAAATTTAGCTTAAATCCATCAAACAGTTTAGGAAACACATAAATTTGCCCAATCAAAGTGAATCTGCAAAGTACCTATTGAGTACCCCAAAGACCACATATCATGAACTTCTATTGAGTTAAAATACATGTAGTCTAAATCTGTCTCCATTCAAATGGTCTCTTTCGGGCCAAATAACTTTATTTGCAGATATCATGACAAACATCACCCAATCAATAACCCTACCAAGTCACAACATAAGCCTTTTGAGCTGATGGCCCAATGGGGTAATGATTGACTCAGTGTTCAACCAGCAGTTGCCAGGCAAGATATGCCCATATTTTGCAAGAGATGGATAGAGAACAAGCTAAAAACAAAAGCGTTGTTTCGTACAATCAGGGGCAATAATCCAAAAAGTTATGGTCTGAAATGCGGAAATATCGAAAGGGACCGAGATCTTTGAGATATAAAGATATATTTTAAGTTTCCTCAAAATCAGATCAAAATCGTGACTTCTAGAAGGTTCACAACCTTCGCATTACATACTTTTACACAATTTGCATACAAAGAGACGCCATTTTGTCGGGCAGTTTATTTTCGATTTTTCCGAAATTCAAATTCAACCTTCATTATGGTGAATGATGATATATTTAAACGGTTTTAAAATCGGACAGAAATTGTGACTTCTAAGAGAATCCACAAGCTAATAACCACCATTTTTCGTACTATCAGGGGCCATAATCAAGGAAGTCACATTCTGATATGCGTGAATATTGAAAGGAACCAAGATCTTTGAATTATAAACATGTATTTCAAGTTTCATTAAAATCGGATGAAAATTGTGACCTCTAGAGTGTCCACAAGCTAAAAATGTGATATTTCGTACAATCAGGGACCATAATCCATGAAGTTATGGTTCGATACATGCCAATGTCAAAAGGAACAAAGACTCTGGGAGATAGACCTATATTTCAAGTTTCGTCAAAATTGGATGAAAATTGTGACCTTTACAGTGTCTACAAACAATTGTGGACAAATGTCCGGACAGACAGGGGCGATGGCATAATACATGAAAATGTGGGCGTATAAAAGTCGTAAGCATGGGGTGGTCTTTTAAGGGGGCATTAGGTAAGATTAGATAAAGAGCTGACAGTTCTCACTATAATAGTTAAAAAATAAATAATGAAAAGAAAATATGCTGAAAATTTCAGTCAAATTACTTCACTCTGAGCCTAGATATTAACAATACAACTATAGGCTAGCCTTGATTGTCATTACTATGTAATGATAATAAACAAAGTCTCGATTATCCATTTTTACGGTAACCGCATTCACCACAAAACGTATTTGAATCTTCTAAATATAGAAAGCACCTGATGGCATCAAGAGATTATTATGGCCTTTATAAGTTAATTAATGTCTAATTAATAATTTATATAACATTTCAGGCCAAAAGACCTGCCATAGGCAGATTTAGCTCTTGCATAATGCATGTTTAATATAGTATAAAATTTTTGTCTTTCGTGAAAAATTTCTAAATTTTGAGATGAGAACAGAACATTAACACTTTATACATGTACCACAATTCTATAAAATGTGATCAGGATTTGTCATTTTCTTATATTCTTCATGAAAATAATAATTTTATATACTTACATGGTGTAAAACATCTCAATACACCAAACTGTACTAAAGTTGCTGGAACACTTTTACCATCAAATAAACAGGAATAGGCTGATGATGATGAATACCATGGTCCAGTCACCAATACTTTTGTTCCTCCCTATATCAATAAACACATTTTATTTAAAACTAAACATTAATGCACATATAATCTCTGTGCATCAGAATACAAAACATATCACAAAATATGCTAGATGTGTTAAGATCTAAAATAAGCGATACGTCTCAGAGGTAATGCCAAGTTGCAGAAACATAATGCCAAGTCTTACTGCAATCAACATGTTTGCACAAATAAAAATTTGTATTTTAAAATAACCATTTTTTTTTTGCTTATAATCCAATCCTTAGTGTACTGTCTTGAAAAATGAAAACAAAATTGAATACTTAAACAAGAGAAACAACTAAAAACAGCCATGTCTAAATAAATCTATGTATAAGATCAATTTATCCTCAATAATAGTCTGTACATGTAACTATCAATAATTTATCAAATTGTTAATTTCCGTTTTTCTATCATAATCATAGCCACAATTAATAATAGTAATGAGTTCTTATATTGTGCACAGATCCATTAAAGTTAATGCTCAAGGCATTAAAGTTAATACACAGATGTAACACCATATAAAGTTTGACAAGGCTGAGACATAATGAGTGACATTTTATCAACCCATTTTTTTAGTGTGAATAATTTATTTTTTTAATGAATGAGGACGATAGATAGATTTTGTTGCATACAAAAAGATTTATAGGCATTTTTGCTACATGAGAATAATTTTGCATTAATGCAACGAAGATAGAGCTTTGCCTGACACCTATAATAATTTAGCCTGTATATAAATGTTTCACATATTGTTAGATATATTTTGATGATGTGTGTTACATGTACATACAAATAGTTTAAATGATATTTTAATACTAATTAACATTATCTACTAACCGTTTCAAAAGACCAGTCTGGTGAAAAATCTGTAATAATAGCTGGAGATTCAAATATGTCAGATTCAATTTGCACAGATTGAGCACCAATAGCGGGTGTTATTGCTGCCACAAACTCACTTAGTTGTCCAGACCCAGTAGCAGTAGATTCACTTGGATTACAAGTCACATTAGGTGTATGGTGCGATCGTGATATCAACTTTTGACCAGCTGTATGTTGAAGACTACCCATGTTTTGATTATCAAGACATGAAGTACTATCAACAAGTGTCAAAGAGTTAGATAACGAGGTGCTTGATATATTTATCCCTGACGTCACAACAGGACCGGCAGGTGCACTAAGTCCACTTCGGGAATCAGCCATAGCACTAGAAGCTAGATCTGAACAGTCGTCCAGTTCTTGGAGATCAAGTAAATATTCCAGGTTGAGATCAGTTCCAGGAAAAGATGAAAAGCTGCCATCTAGGGTATCACAGTTATCACTGACTGATAGAGAATTGTCTTTACTGGTACCAGATTCACCGCCAAAACACTGAGCACCAAAATGTGAGGAAAAGTTGACATCACATCGAGTGGCATGATGTCTATGTTGATTGTCCAAAGATAGTGAGTTTTGACTTGTAGTTTGTCGTTTTATATCGGTGGTCTGCTCATGAAGATGGCTGTCATTTAGCTGCATTTGTAATGAGGATTTATTGGTTTCAGGAGGATTAGATATGTGTTCAGCTTGGTTCTGGTTTGAGGTTGTTTTTCTAACAACTGGAGATGGTATAATCGGGAGTGTGTTGATCATTGATGGAAATGACGTCTGTCTGTCAGCAGTATTGATGTAGGATCCAAGAACGTCTGAGTGGAGTTGTGACGTAAGAGAGTTATTGAGGATTGAAATGGGATGGGTGCTCTGGCCACTGACAATAATGACACCACTCCCCCCCTGTACATTGAGAATGAGAGGTCCAGAAGTAGGGTTGATGTCTGCGTTCCCAGCAGCTGCAGTAGCAGAATTTGATGAGGAAGATATGACCAGTTGATTGGTGCATATTCCCTGAGTCTGGCTTAAATGTATGTTTTGTTCATTTAGGGTGTTAAGTTGATTGTGAGCAACATTCAGTGTGGATTTGATTTTCTGAGATAATCTGGAGGTTTTGGAATGAGGGTTTTTCAGTGAAGGATGTAAGTGTGAAGTACTAGGACCGGCTTTATTATCTTCAACATCAACTGTCTGTTGAACCACTGACTCTAGTACATCATCCTACAAATTAGAGAAGTCATAAGTAATTCCACCCTTTTGATTTTTTCTTTCACTACGAACAATTACAAAAGAAAGTTTGCCAGGCAACAAAACATACGTCCACAGCAACTAAGTCGTCCGGGGAGTCAACAAGGGTTGTTGCATATTCACTAGTCAGCGGGTGCACCAGTCTGCCGCTATAATCATTGGAAATCGTTGAAAATTGATAGGCTTCTTCGTCTCATGACCTTAAACACTGTATTAAATATAAAGTCAATCGACAGGCCTTGAGATTTGACGGGTGCAATCATGCTACACCCACAGAGCGCCCGCAAATAAAAACTAGAGAACATGAATTATCGAGCCAGCAAATTATTGAATTTGGGCTCAAAATAGTTCCTTTATTCAGGTGCAAAGCTATCCTCAAGACATGGAATTATCAATTTAATGAGCAATTCCTAGGTGAAGAGGGGGGTTGGATAGCTGAATGGTTAGCACGTGCATGCTGTATCATAAAGTCTGTCATTTAGTCAACTGGCATGGTTTCGATTCCCCGGTTTTACGTGACAAGGAGTAGGGTCGCCTGTCCAACCTCGTGGGTTTTCTCTGGGTCCTCGGGTTTCCTCCCACTGCTAAAGACCCCTACGAGCAAGCTAATTATTGAAATAAAATTAAAACCATATGTTAGTCCTGAAGTGACCTAGTTTGTGTCGAGAGGACGTTAAACCCCATTTCTCTCTCTCCCTCCTAGGTGAAGAAACACATACAAGGCTTGGAAGGGAAACGTGAAATTTAGATCAGTTGTAAAGAATACCTAGAGGTGCATTTGTAAACTTTTATTTGAGAATTTTGCGAAAACTCTTTATAAACATTGACAGTTATGTTTAAAATAATTAAAAAGAATATGAAACCAAAAACATTTTCAAAATACAGAGAAGAAATCTTATGCTTTTGTCTCCATTAGAACCTCTATCTAACTCCAAAATTAGTAGCCAATCATAAATAGCGATTTACCAGTATGGCGGTGGCTACAATGTAATTTTATTATCTATCAAAGAGAGGCTTGTTTTTGTTTAATTATTTTATGTAAGTTGATAGTAATACGCACACAAGCTGACTTTACATGTCATAATTTGTGATTGAAAAGCATTATCGGAAGCCCAGTATCATTGTGTCAACATTCGGTGGAGTACCTACAATTGGATATTAACTTTAACCTCCAGAGCATCCACAAGATTTTTTAGAGTGATCAAGGGCCATAACTGTGGCAGTAACTATCGGAAATCGTAGAAAATCAAGTCTTTTTCATCTCATGACCATAAACACTGTGTATAAATTTAAAGTCAATTGGATATTAACTTTAGCCTCCAGAGTGTCCACAAGATTTTTTTTATAGTGATCAAGGACCATAACTCTGGTAGTAATTATCGAAAATCATTGAAAATCAATATACTTCTTCAATCAGATATTAACTTTAGCCCGTAGACCATCCACAACCAATTGTGGACGCCAGACTGCCGGACAGATGCCAGTGACAACAATATACGACCACATTTCAATGTGGGCGTATAAAAATTAAATAATTTTTAAACATACATCTTAAAAGTAACTATATTTGGCACAATATGAGTACAAAAAAAAAATGTTCCACTCATTACATCATAATGGATCATTTATGTTAATTTTCTCTGTGAAAAATAAACAATTGATTAACTTACGAGTAAATTATGTTCTCCAGGTCTACCTGAATTAACTGCAATATACAATTAAAAAAATAAATAAATCATTGGATACTGTAGTAAAATTTTCATATTCATACCATGCATTTTCAGAAACAAGATCACCACCATGTTTTGCACACACAAATTGAATTTTAATACATGATTTACATTTTTTGGCAAACATCTTATTATATTTCACAGCTTGATCCATGCTAATTTGTACTCAGATTGATTCTTTAACATTTAATTAATGCTAGGTTACCACTATCACGATTCGTGCTACGATTGAAATCTTGGTTTTGATCATGGAGTAATCGTGATGATCCTATCAGGTCTTATCATACATTAAGGTCAGTTGTAGCAATCGTGTTGATCGTGTCGAAAGGTATCTGACTCAATAGGGACAATCCTATCGTAATGCATCACACAACAGTGGGAAACTAGCCTGAGAAAACAAAATCATAATAGCAATGCTAGATAATCGTTAGGCTTGGATTCAATCAGATTTAAAACAAGCCCATCAATTTGGGGAGAGAGAGAGAAATGGGGTTTAACGTCCACTCAACACAAACTAGGTCATTTCGGGACTAACATATGGTTCAATTTTATTTACATAATTCGCTTGCACGTAGGGGTCTTTAGCAGTGGGAGGAAAACGGAGGCCCCGGAGAAAACCCACGAGGTTGGACAGTCGACCCTACTCCTTGCCACGTACAACCGGGGATTCGAAACCACGCCAGTCGACTCAATGACAGACTTTATGATACAGTGCGCGCACGCTAACCATTCAGCAATCCAACCCCCCCCCCCCCATCAATTTGGTTCACAGCTAATAAATATGGTGGCCATCTTGTTACATAGGGAGCCACACAGATCAATGAAATTTTTAATTCGTCATATCTTTGTAAATACTGTACGATACTGACCCATTTTTGGACTTATATATTTATATTAGAGTTTCAACTTTCACAATATTGTAGTTTTAAGAGAGTTTTTAAGTAATAAATGGTAAAATATTTGTCATACTTACACATGGGTCTGAGTTGATCAACAAGTTCTTCTTTGGTCCATTCTTTTTTCTCTTTATCATATGACATAACAGGAATGCTGAGTTTAGTGTTAGTAGGACAAGGTACATTTAAATAATGAACTAGAACAATGTCGGTATTCTGCAATAAAAAAAAAAGTAACATTCTAGATTATATAAAAACAACATTAAATAAAATACAAGAACAATGTCAGTATTCTGCAGTAAGCGAAACACATGCCAACAAGCAGTTTTACTGTGTAATGTAAATTAATCAACATTCAAATGTTGTGAAAATTACTCTGGAAGTACTTTAGTCTAATAATACTATTCTTGAAAGAACTTAACATTAATAAATTAAGGCAGTCAACAACGAGGTTCTTTCCATTGCTTATAATTTAATGAAACGCAGTCCATAAGAATGGACATCTGTCTGAGGACGTCAATTTTAAAAAACAAACTCACCTGTAAGAGCCAATAACATCTACGATGAAAAGTGGGTAAAATAGCAGAATGTACATATAATCCATAAATACACTGAAAATAAAATAGTTTTATTAAATACATTGGTTTTTACATAATTTGTAGGTAAATTATTATTACAAAACGTTGATATTACTCTACCAGTATTTATATTACGATACTAGAATATATTTTAATGATACTCAAAATATGTTTCACAAAAGCATTTACTATTAAATTAACATCAAATTAAAACAATTAAATACAGGGCTTCTAAATATAGTAATGGTCATAAGATATAAGATTACTATATAGTATTATGCTATGTAAGAGACTTTATGCCAGTTAATCAAGATAATATTACATTTGCAATGCTATTATCAGTAATAGTACTATAAATTAAATAAAATGTTATATTAAACATGCATTATGCAAGAGCTAAATCTTCCTATTGCAGGTCTTTCTTTAGGCCTGAAATGTTTTCTAAAGTATTAATTAGACATTAATTAACTGATCCAGGCCTTAATCAACTCTCGATGGCATCAGATTTCTCCGATATTAAATAGATTAGAATGGTTCAGCGATACTTTGATTTAATCAAATATGGAGGACTGAGACTTAGCTTCGATCAACCAGTACAGTGGTTGAAATTATTGCACACGTCTGTCAAACCTTCAAAGGCTAATATCTTCGCTTGCAATAGAGTAATTTGAATGAAATTTTCAAATTATTCATTTTACATCATCTACTTTCAAACTATTATAGCAAGAATGGCTAGTTCTTTATCTAAATCTTACATAATGTATATTTAAGAAAAATATCCTAACAAATTTTAATAATATTTACCTCTACACCCTGAACTTTGAGTTTCATATGATCTTCGCGAATGGTTTTAGCATCTTTACGTTTTTTCCAACAATATCCATCCTTCCGATATCTCACTGTTTTCCTGTTGTATAGCATCATTGATCCACTTGGAGGTCTAAAATATCAAACAGATGTTTAAAATGAAAATACATCTTTTAATATAAATGATAAATGATAATATTACAACGTTAAATGTTTTCAAAATAAAATGAACTTAAATGGAGTTGTACATCTTACTTTTCTGCACCAACCAAGCTAATCAAGACGAGTATACGTCATTCAGTGTACTATGGGGGAAATTTTGCCTGGACAGTGGAGCTGTCAGGGGATCTTTAATGTGCTGCCAATGGCATACACAGTGCCACTGGGGGTTTTTTGAACCACCACTTTTAAAACCAGGCTGGAAAATACAAGGAATCATTATAGCCACCACCTGAATCAAACCCGTGACCGTCTGGTTTATAAGCCACTAACATCCTCATCAAGACATTATGGCTCCGACAGTTTTCAGAATTTCATTGTGACATATGCTGATTCTGTCGGGTGTAGGGGTTAAGTCCTCAAGGTTGTTAGTTAAAAAGACAAACAAGAAACATTAATACTGTATGGAAGATGATGATATACCTTATCTTTAATTCTCTCATCTGCCATTCTTTATGATGATCAAAAGCAATCAAAATGGAAGCAATTTCCTGAAAGGCAAGATTGTAAAATACTTTATAATAATGAAGATTATGATAATCATTTTTAATAATTTCCAGCAAATTCATAGAAACAACTTCTGAAGACATAAATAAAAACAATTTTTGTCTGACGATGACAGACAGACAGACAGAAGTGATGACAAGCTCTGAACACATTTTTTAATAATTTCCAAGTCTACTTATATATCAACATGGTCTAAGAGATGAAAGTACATGTACCACCCAAGTTCCTAAAATTGAAAGCCCAGTATATTCTGGTATATCATTTATAATCAGTTTTCCTACCTCATTAGTATTCCATCTGTGACGACTTTCAAGAAATTCTGTAGCGGGGGGAATTTTGGTCAAAGGTAAGGGTAGTTCTATAGTTTCTCCATCTAAAATTCAAATATTTACACTTTATATATAATATCCACATTTTGTATGTGACGACTTTCAAGAAATTCTGTAGGGGGGGGGAATTTTGGTCAAAGGTAAGGGTAGTTCTATAGTTTCTCCATCTAAAATTCAAATATTTACACTTTATATATAATATCCACATTTTGTATGTTTAATTGAAATTTAAAACCTATTATCAAAGAAGTAATAGGTCCATATATGAAGGTCAGAATGATATGAGAAAATCAGGTAATTAAAAGGTAAATTTAGTTGAGGCATATTCATTTCACTCAGCTGAGATAATAAATAAAGATAGGTTGCCAGGCAACGAAACATACGCCCACAGCAGCTAAATCGTCCGGGTAGTCAACAAGTGTTGTCACATATTTTTACTTCTTTCGGTAATGAAACATTTATAATACACTAAAATCTGATTAAGAGTAACAACACATGAAGTAATTATCAGAAAACCATTAGAATTTGTTTGTTTTTTATAAAGTTCTGCCTCATGCTAACGTTTAGTATACAAAACCTTTAATATCATGGATTTAGCTGTTCAAGTCATAAAAATTCATTGAAAATCAATATACTTGTTCGTCTCAAGCTCTTAAACTCTGTGTATCAATCTGAAGTCAATCGGATGATAACTTTAGCCTCTAGAGCGTCACAAGATTTTTCAAAGTGATCAAGGGCCATAACTGAGACAGTAATTATCAAAAATCACTGAAAATGAATAGACTTCTTTGTGTCATGACTTTAAACACTGTATATAAATTTTAAGTCAATCGGATATTGACTTTAGCCTCTAGAGCGTCCACAAGATTTTTCAAAGTGATCAAGAGCCAGAACTCTGGCAGTAAATACTGAAAATGAATAGGCTTCATCGTCTCATGACCTTAAACTCTGTGTATAAATTTAAAGTCAATCGTATATTAACTTTAGCCTCAAGAGTGTCCACAAGATTTTTCAAAGTGATCAAGGGCCATAACTCTGGCAGTAATTATCGTAAATTGCTGAAAATCAATAAGCTTCTTCCTCTCATGACCTTAAGCACTGTGTATAAATTTAAAGTCAATCGGATATTAACTTTGGCCTCTAGAGCGTCCACAAGATTTTTTGAAGTGATCAAGGGCCATAACTCTGGCAGTAATTATCGAAAATCACTGAAAATGAATAGACTTCTTCGTCTCATGACCTTAAACACTATGTATAAATTTAAAGTAAATCGGATATTAACTTTGGCCTTTAGAGCGTCCACAAGATTTTTTTAAGTGATCAAGGGCCATAACTCTGGCAGTAATTACCAGAAATCGTTGAAAATCAATAGGATTCTTGGCTTCATGACCTTAAACACTGTGTATAAATTTAAAGTCAATCGGATATTAATTTTAGCCTCTAGAGCGTCCACAAGATTTTTTGAAGTGATCAAGGGCCATAACTCTGGCAGTAATTATCGGAAATTTCTGAAAATCAATAGGCTTCTTCGTTTCATGGCCTTAAAACATTGTATATAAATTTAAAGTCAATCGGACCGACTGACGGACGGGTGCAACGACAATATACGACCACATTTCAATGTGGGCGTATAAAAACATATCTACCTTGATTTTTGGGATGTTCAGGTATCAAGGATGGCTCTTCCATGATTATTAGATCAAGGTCAACAGGTGACCTTTTTTTTTACTCTCTACTCATAACTCTGAAATGGGCAAAAACCAGATGATTAGATTTTAAAAATTAGATGAACATACATAATAAATAATATTTAAACATGACCACTACAGCCTAATTTATGAGTCATTGTCACAAAAATGCTAGGCCCTATGTACTGTTGATTGAAAATACATAGTAACACTATATACACTATTATGACAAAAAATACAAATGTAAGATTTAAAACAGCTTAAGTCAAAATCTTGAAATACAAGGAACATGTTTATGACCTCTTATCCTACTACTGGTATATAACCATAAATTTTATGAAGAAAAAAGTCTATACCAGAAATCTTTAACATAGATTAAACTGGTTTCATATTATGTTAAACAGCTACATATACATGTACCAGTTAAAAGACTGTACAGAAATAATAAAACTATGTGTATAACTTGTAATTTGTCTGTCGAACTAACATTGTGTAAATATTATATGATAAAATCAATAAAATAAATTGATCATATCTTCACTATGATTTGAAAAGCAATTGTATATATTATTATATACAGATCTAGGTCACAGTACCTTAATTATATTTAATGTTAAATAACAGAACAAGAGAGAGAGAGAGAGAGAGAGAGAGAGAGAGCATCCACTCCACACAAACCAGGTCATTTTGGGACTAACATGATACAATTTTATTTCAGCAATTGCTTGCACGTACGAGTCTTCATCAGAGGGAGAGAGCATCTACTCCACACAAACCAGGTCATTTTGGGACTAACATGATACAATTTTATTTCAGCAATTGCTTGCACCTACGAGTCTTCAGCAGAGGGAGGAAACTGGAGGACCCTGAGAAAGCCCACAAGGTAGGGCAGGTAACGCTACACCTTGTGTAGCGATAGGAAACAATGACATATCTTATGAATTATCTAAAGTACTCGACTACACAAACACATTCTAATGTAAGAAAAACACTGATTAATTTATGAAACAATCTTACCATATTTCAAACATCTGTAGAGTTGATCTAATTTAAATAATTATATTGATATCAGTTCTACTTATGCAAGAATAATACTAGTTTTCCGGTGATCAGTTTAATACAGTTCCATCTTTACACTCAGCAGAATCTAAAATACCAGTACTCAGTATCACTAAAACTTTTTACTGCAATATGAAAACAAATTTTTTAAAATGTTTACATATACCTAATGTATTTCTTTGGAATATGTGGGATACCCAAAACTTGAGTTTTTAAAAAAAAATAACAAAAGCGTTATTTCAAACTGTTCATCTGAATTGAGAATAATGCCTTTGCACTAATTTGGCAGAGGTTCAACAAAGACAAGATAGGCTGTCATATTAAGAAACTTACACCCACAACCCTAGTCAATAATGGTTGTCACCACAACCAATGCACAGAAGTAATTATCAGAAATATCAAAATCTGATCTCTAGGTTTTCCTACCACTAACATAAAAAAAAACACACTTTAGCTGAACTTAAAGAGTTACGGCAAACTGTTAAAAATCAACAGAAACACAATTACTGGATTCTAACCTTTGCCTCTTAGAGAGGGTCAACAAGATTTATCAAAGCCATCAAGAGCAATAATTCAGAAGATAAATAGACTTGTTCATATCATGAACATAAATACTTTATAGTTTAATATTAATTTTGATGGAGTGACAGACAGACAGACCATTGGCGGAAACTACAATATATGACCGCTATTCAATATGTGCACATAAAAATAACTAGGCAGACATTATAGGCAGGGAACAATCATTTTAACAGCCAACAAAAATACGCGATTTAAACAACATTTAAACTATACTGTTATAAATCCTTGAGAGGTGTGAAAATTTGAGTTGACAATTTCTGTAGATATGTGTTTGTTCTCAGGAAAAAATATGAAATGCTTCATTAATATTTAGATTTACATTGAATCATTTCTGTTTATACTGTAATTTCTAATCAATTATGTTCAGCAAAATACACAAAGAGTTCCAATAGAGTAGGCATTCTTTGGCGTCTGGTTATTCCAGTCTAAACCAGTAGTATTCTCAAATGGGATATGTTTACATGGCTGTCGCCGTCGGTAATTTTTCACAGGTGATTAGCAGCACTGCTAATCAAAAAGTCCAATTTTGCCAAATGTGATTACCAAATTTAAAAATTGATTAGCAGTTTTTCAGTTTCAACATAAAACACCTAAATAACAAGATTATTTTAATTTTAATTCATAACAAATGATTAGATTTCATTCTTAAGATTATTTTTAGAATTTCAGTACTGCTACAGGTAGCTGTGAACATTTCTGAATGTAGACTTTTGGTTAGGCCTTATGTCTGAAGCCAATTTTGGCTCACATTTATTGTCCCTAAATAAGCTATATTTACAGGGCTGTCGGTAATTTTTCACAGATGATTAGCAGCACTGCTAATCAAAAAGTCCAATTTTGCCAAATTTGATTAGCAAATTTAAAAATTGATTAGCAGTTTTTCAGTTTCAACATAAAACACCTAAATAACAAGATTATTTTAATTTTAATTTATAACAAATGATTAGATTTTATTCTTAAGATTTTTTAAAATTTTAGCACTGCTACAGGTAGCTGTGAACATTTCTGAATGTAGACTTTTGGTTAAGCCTTATGTCTGAAGCCAATTCTTGCTCACATTTATAGACCCTAAATAAACGGCTGTGTTGTATTTAATACGTATAACCATTTAACATCAATATAAAAAAAAGTCCTTCTTAACCAGTATACCGACAGTTCTCTTGCTGACTGACAGGCCGGGATAATCAAGATTATTTTCCACGAAACGATCATAAAGCTAGATCAATAAATCTAATTTAGAAACATGCATGTTTGGCAACTCATCAATTATTTTGAGAACCTTGTAAAAACAAAAGAAAAATACTACTAGTCTAGTATGCTATTCTTGCCTAATGAAGGAGCTTCCGAGATATTAATTTTACTAAACCAAAAGGTGCCGCTCCTAACGGTATACATGTAGTTCATAATTAATATAGCAAATTGAAAAACAAAATAAACGTAATTTTCTAAAGCTACTGTACTGTAAGTGTAACAACAAATCAGCTATTATTATTGTTATTCAGAATCATTAACAATAGATTTTATACGTCTTTAATAGTCGATAGATGTGTTGAAAATTTCACATGCAATGTCAATTTTTATCCTCATTGACTATACTATTTCTCGCACTGCGTTCCTAGACAGAAATCAGTTCGGGTCTAGTCACTGAAGCGTGCACATTTGCTGTGGCGTGTCCAACTTTTAATTGAGAAAAGTTTGGCTGTGTGGGGCACCCTAACTGTGGATGATATTGAGTTAGCCACTTGGTTCCTTTAACTCAAAGTAGGCCTATCCATACTCTACTTAAGAATAATCTTAAGTTAATTCCACATTTTTATTTTATTACCTAAGATGATGCTGCTTTATTTTTTTTAATATACAGTACGGTGAGATGTGAATGTCACAAATTAAAATCACATAGGCCTACATCAAATTATCAAAGCTGGTATAGTTTAATCTAGCTAATTTTTCAAGCCAGTCTCTTTTTTTTATGTTTACGACAAATTATCGTTTACGACAACGTGAACGTCTATATTAGTATAATTCAATGTCTGTTAAATCGATGATTTCAGGATGGAATCTCCAATATAATCTTTGGGTGGTAGATTCTACTAAAGTAAAACATAACAATTGTATCAATTTTTGAAGAAATGATATCAAAAAACATGTGAAATGTGGATAATTTAACTAAAATTCTATTAGACATTACCTCTCGTCAAGACTAATGTGTATTATCCACTGTGTTACGCATGCGCAAGCGGAAACAATATTATCAGCATTAAAATTTAAAGGGTAGAACACAGGACAGTAGTTAATTAAAATGGGGGGTTGGGATGGCCTAGTGGTCTAGAGTGTCACGCTTCGACCTCTAGCTGGCCGGTCACCTCTGGCTTGCGGCTGTGGTTTCAATCCCTGGTGTGAGCGTATGTGGCATGGAGATAGGGGCGCCTTCTCAACCTCGTGGGTTTACTCCGGGTACTCCGGTTTCCTCCCACACGAAAGACCCCTGCGCGTGCGCTAAGATCATGAAAATAAAAAAAAATAAAAAAAAAAGACAACTTGTCTGCGATATCACCTTCGGTGGAAGCGGACGTTAAACACTAACAACACACACACAGTAGTTAATTCAAACAGATTACACTTTAGAAAATCAATTAAATATTAAAAACATCAATTATTTACATAGAATTACATGATTTGTTGAAATGATTGCTGTGAAACAGTCACTGTCAATCACTTTAAAACGTTTTTAGGTTTTTTTAGTTTGCTTTAAATTACAGCGAAACTGTCATGATATTTAATAACTGTTTTTAACATTCTGATTGTCTTTTCTTTTTTTTTTCTTTTTTTTTTACAAAAATAACCGTCAGTCTACACTAATCACTAATAGTCACTATAATATAGTGTTACGCTTATGTTTCCAAACCTGAGCCAATACTGGCAATAGAAGTAGAAGTTAATAATTGTTTTTAACATTCTCTTAGCTTTTGATTACATGTTTCCCAAATATGAGCCAATATTATATAATATATAATATTTTTTTTATTATTATTATTTTTACCCTGCATGATCCAAAGTTAATTCAAATTGAAAGTTTTTTTCTTTTATGACCTTTGTAAAGGTTATTTTAGTATTATCATTTATCTGTCGAGTTTCTGTGGCACAAAAAGATATTTTACCAAACACACTGATTCATTTGTAGCGTGTGTCGGGCTTACGGGGAACAGCTTGATCATTAATTTCGTTTTTCGTATCTTATGACAAATAACTTGAATTTTGCGTAACCAAAATGGCTGCGCCCAGAGTGGAGGACGAGGAACACTTTCTCACAACGGACTTCTACTCATTGCTTAATGTTGGAAGAGAAGTATGTGTCAATATGTTTGCGTATGAGTTCATATATGTATCATTGATAAATTTTTTGGAAGTTCCAATGTCTGGATTTTCTGTCACATATGATTTGTTGAACTTCGATACGTTGTCTTGGCTGGGACCCTGTGACGGGCTTTTGAAGGACTTTTCACAATTAAGCCGGTTGTTTATTTGCTCAGCTGAGTAGAAATTCTACATAACTGGTGTTGTTGTGCTTTGTCATATTTCCGACAAAGGAATAAACAAGCCCGGTTCAATTTACAGTATCAATATTTTTCTCAAAATAAAGTGCACTAAAATTTCATCATTTTATGATTTTTTGGCAATTTAAAGTAGCTAAGTCTCTAACTCAATATCATATATATGCATCCAAAACCTTCAACAATGAAAATACGAATTATTTGACAATTTTAATCTACATTGGTGTTGTGATCTTACCGGAAAAAGGTGGGCTTCTGATATCCAATATTTAAGACAAAATAAACATTTTACGATTGGTACACGAATCGTGTACCATAATGCGTTTCAGCGCAATTTGTAACAAGCGACTAGAAGAACGAGGTTAGACATATTCCCCAAGTCATGTCAAACGGTGACCCCATATTCTTATCTGGAAAACATGCGTAATAAATACTATCGGTGTAGACTGGAATAACCAGACGCTAGAGATTGCCATTGGATTGAGATATCTGGCGTATTTCGCCGAACATAACTGCTTTGAAATTAGAGTAAAAACGGAAACGATTAAATGTAAATCAGTTTATTTACATTCATATTACATTATTATATACGTTGCGACACATTTGTGTCAATTTGTAGTCCCAAATATTAGCGATTTAGCTCCTTTAAGTGGCTCCCAATCAAACTGGCCGGATATTCAGAAATATATGAGCTCTTCCAGTCTGCTGACAGATATTTATGAAAGATGTCAACTATTTCGATTTCCCTTATACTATCTTATAGAAACATATGGAAATGTACGATAATAATAAGTGGCATTAAACAGTTGCAATTATTGACTGTATAGTATAAACAATAATTAATTTTTGATCAAATTAATTTGAAGTTTAATTAATCAAACATTTCATGCCTCAAATCTCTGATATAAATTCTGTACATGTGTAATTTATAGTACCCACAATTATACTAGTGCCTACCTTTGTTGTATGTTTGATAACATTTATCCCTTTTTGTGAAGAAAACCCTTGAGAACTTTAATTAGGGTTTCACACTGCGTAGATTGTGTGAAACACTATTTTTGGGGGGATGTGGTCATAATGGCCATATGCCATAACATCCAAAAACAGGTTTGGTCAAAGCGGTCCTACTTTAGTCATAACGGCCTAACAGTTTGGTCATAATGGCCAAAACATTTGGTCATAACAGCCAAAAATTTTTAATTGAATGAAAAACAATATATTTAAACAAAACATCGATGTTGTGCTGCAGTTATACAAACCGGGGTGTTCCCACTTAGCCGGCAGGCTTTGATGTCAAATTTTGCCGCTAATCCAGAGTTAATCCTAGAACAATGGTGTTATAAACTATAGTCCATATTTTTTTAAGACTAAAACTGTATTGATTTTAACAAATTTAACTTTTATTAAATAACATTAAATAGCTTACACATATGAAAATATATTGATTTTAACAAATTTAATATTTATTAAATAACATTAAATGATTTACACATGTAAAAATGCATTACAATTTACACATTTAACTTTTATTAAATAGCATTATATAATTGGATTATTGGAAATAAAGCGAATATAAACCTGAACGTTTGCCATTTTAAAATAAATATAATTTCGACACAGATCGACCATCTATTTATATTAATATAGTGAATTGAATTCATGTTTGAAATCATAACGCCGGCATGAACTGTGTTCAAAATGTCATTAATTAGTTGGTTAATAAATTTTATTAAGAGGGATTAAGAGCTCATTAACGCTGAACACTAGTGAACAATTCTTGAGTGACTACTTTTAAACAGACTATAGTTTTAAGATCAATCAAAGGATTAACAGTCTGCCGGCTAAGGGGGAACACACCATACAAACCATGTGTCCTGGAGACATAACAACCAAAGCCAACCCGGAAGACTACATGCTGTAAAGTGTAATTGTAATTCAAAGGAAAGAGGTGAGTACTAATTAATCAACTGATTGGATAATCCCTAATTAGGTACTTCACACTCTCTGATCTGATTAGTTAATATATGAGATAAACATTAATCATTTATTTTTTATCAACTTAAGGTAAAAGAAATGGTCATCTCCAATCCATTCAGAGAAAATTCAGAGAACCTAATCAGAGCAACTAACAGAATAAGAGAAAATTTCTAAGTTATTTATTATGTTGAAAGTTATAATTACAAATTAACAATATCATGTAACAATATTACAAAATTTGTAATATTACAAAATATATTTTAGGTTAAGCTATATTTACAAATATACATGTATGTTAGGTTAAGCTATATTTACAAATTTATTTTACAAGTAAATGAAGATGCAATACCTGATGATTTTTTACGTGCCGATATAAAAGTTAAAGGAGAAAGACATTTGATGTTTTCAACCACAAGGCAGCTGGCTTTGCTTGCTAAATCCTGGCAATGGTTTATTGACGGGACTTTTAAAATCGTGAAAAAGCCCTTTTATCAACACTGAAAATTATGTAATTAGATGTATTATGTACATGTATGTGAAATATTATTGAAATAAATTTTATAGTTTGTATGTTTTATTATGTATGTGAAATATTACAGTTTGTATTATGTTAAATGTCTGTGTAAATTTACGTATTAAATTAATGTTTATGTAATGTATGTATTTATATTAGGGTATTATCTATTATGCAATGTATTTATATTATTAAATATCATTCCGTACATGTAATAAATGGTTTGGTTTTTATTGGCCGTTACAACCAATTTGTATGGCCGTTATGACCAATTTGTATGGCCATTACGACCAAATCTTTTGGCCATTATGACCAAATATTTTTGCCGTTATGACCAATTATTTTGGCCATTATGGTTTAGGGCCGTTATGTCTATAACCCTTTTTTTATTACCCTTGGGCAACGAAAGTGACGTAAATTTAGCAAAAACTACAATTTTGAGAGTTTGGTACCACTTTTTGAAAGCAAATATTATTTTTTTCAAATCTGGTATGACTGAAAGGGTGTGCCCTGTAAAGGCGCAGAAAACATCAGACTCCCTTTTTTTTAATATCGATTTCGTTTTCGGGTAATTTCGATTTAAAGGTGAAAAAGGGTGAAAAAAGGAGCTATTTACAACCCATTCAGGCTTTTCATATTTAAATATATTTTTTCGCAACTTTCATAAACTAGTAGCAATAATCCATACGAAGAGAATGTATGTGAAAATTAGTTTGTAATATAAGCAGTTGCCGAGAAATGGGCAATTTTGCATGAGTCCCTTTTTACACTAGTTTGCCTGTAAAAGAGTCAATTATTATTTGATTTTCATAAAAGTGACACCATTTGATGCGTAATGTCAATTTTAACTAGGTCAAACCATTTTAACATTTTCAATGTCACCGAAAATGACGTAATTTAGGCAAAAAATGTATATATAGCCTTCAAACCAGTAATTTATTCAAATGAGTCGTATTTGTTATTTGTTTAAAGTTTTGGTATTTGATTCCAATCAACTAATAGAATGAACCCATACGATCATATAGATATCACAAAATGGTTTCTAACTTGTTCAGTTGCGGAGAAATAGACGATTTTCAACAGGTAACTTTTCAAGGTTTTTGGTCCATAAAAGTGTCAATTATTATTCGATTTTCATAAAATTTCCTGTGTGTGATGCCTAATGCCATTTACGATTTTATACAAGTAATTTAACACTTTTTCTGTCAACGGAAGTAACGTCATTTTGGCAAAAACTGTATTTTTAGCCTTCAAAACAGATATTCTATTCAAATGAGTCTGATTTGTATTGTTTTTAAAATTATGATATTTGATTCCAATCAACAAATAGACTAAACCCACACGATCATACAGATAACAAAAAATGGTTTCTAACTTGTACGGTTTCAGAGAAATAGACGATATTCTACAGGTCACTATTCAAGGTTTTTGTTCTATAAAAGTGGCAATTATTATTCAATTTACATAAAAATTTCCACCATGTGATGCCTTATGCCATTTATGATTTCATAAAACTAATTTATAATTTTTATTATCACCGGAAGTAATGTAATTTTGTCAGGATCACTTACATGTAACAAATGTATACAATGAAATGATATTGCCGGATTTGGTTGATTCTGCGTACATTTTATGTGATGTGTGAAATGCTTACATGGAAACCTGTCTAATGGTTTCATCGGTACCGGAAGTGACATATGTTCACGGGTAACGGGGCACCGGTGAAACCTGTCATTACTGCTTCGCAGTTCTAGTGATGATTGTTTTTACCAAAAAAAACAATCATCCAACACATCGGCCGTTTTATTTTCCACTTGAGTATATCTCAGAAATTACTTGTCGGATCAATCCGATATCTTTGGTTTTACAGGAAAGATAGCATGACTTAGAGATTAAATCTATTTTGAACATTCTGCGACAATCCGAAATCATCGAAGTTGGTTTTTTTCTAAATATTGCCGTAATATTAACAATAATTGCCAGATTTTAACATTTGATACATTTTGACATAGCCAGAGACAAGGCACATAGCTACGGGTCTTTAGATTTTTGATTTTCGATGAATCTTCGGAGATATTAGGCGCCAAATTTTGAAAATTTAAATTTTTACCAAATTTTTTTTTATTAATGAATATTTCTTTATGGTATTTTATCCATGGCTAAAGGGTGATCTGATTTGAGCAAAAATGTGAACAATTTATGTCTCAGTAATTTGCGGTAGCCGCCGTTGGCTAATTCAGTTTTTCCGTCCTAGATTGATTATTTATTGTACAATTTGTTTAAAACAAAGTTCATATGCTTCTT